CTCTTAGAATGATTTTAACATTGATATTGGACTCAGATACAGTAAAATACACATTAGAAATCTACTTAGGAAGGATCAAATAAATTCCCCAGACTATAAAGTATAACAAAACTAAAAATGAAAGAACTTCACATCAAAATAGATGAATTTACTCAAAATTCATCAAACCCAGAAATAATAAGACATCTGTATTCGTCCCAGATACATCAAAATGTAGATAAATCATTTAGATAGAGATGGTCAAACAAGTTCCCCTAGAAATAACGAGAGATCACTTCAGAGAATATTAACAAACAAGTTATCTACGCTAATCTTACAAGAAGGAAAACAGAGAAAAGGGGAAAGGTGAAACCTGAAAGCATCACTCTTTCCTGCTTTTTTCTGGGAAATGAACCAAACAAACAAAATTTATGAAAAAGCCAAGTTGAAAATCAGAAAATCAGATGTCGATTTTGCGTTGTAGAAATGCCAAGGTGAGAATGTGAAATAAAATTTCTACAGCGGGCTCGAATAGGACGAAAGAGAAACTTGTTTTAAGAGGGCTTGATGGGCGTTTACATGCCCTTAAAGCCCAATTATCTAAGCATTTCAACGGTTCATAGAACAACTTTAATAAGTTAGGCCGAAAGCAACCCTTAAAATCCATAATATTTGGGTTTGGGTCCAAAAACTTGTAGTTTTTTTTACACTATTTGGATTAAAAAAATATTTGAATGAATTAAAATATGATTTTCTTTGATTTAAAATTTTGGGAGATTTTGAATCGTTTAAGTATTATATTAAAAATTGTAATTAAACTCTATCCCATAAATATTGTGAATCTAATCCAAGCTTTAAAAATAAAAGGTTAAATTATACTATTGGTCCATATGCCACTATAAGTTCATACACACCAATTTAATCACTTTTAGTCAATGGACCGTTTTAAGTTTTAAAATTTTGATCCTTAGTAGTTATTAAATGTATTAAGTTAAACTTTATTATTACTCGCTATACAATGCATAATTATAGATTTATTTTATAGACTCTAATTTATTCAATTTTAGTCTTATAAATTTGTCATATTGATCATGTATCATTAAAATTGAAATTTTAAATTTGTAACACGTACAAACTAAAACTGACCATATTAAAATGTATTTACAACTTATATATAATATTGGGAGTGTTGATGAAATTTTACTAAATTCATCCATCTCGTAAGATATTTTCAAACCCAAATCATTATCAGAAAAATATAATAAAAAATTAATTCTAAGTATTATTAGCCATTAAAAATAATATTTTACATAAAATAAAAAAGAAAGAAAGATATTACTAAATTTGGTTAGTGGGAGGAAGAATTAGAACCACAGTTTTGATAGAAAAGAAATCAGAAATTGGAAAGCATCACGCCTGCCCTCATATTGTTTCCTTTTGCATCGTGCACAAAGGCTGCAGCAGCGAACATGAAAGTGGGAATCGCACCCCCAACCCACCATTCTCACACTTTATCATTTTGTCAATTAATTACATCCACACATACACTTCAACCCTTTTGTCCCTTATGCTCTCCAAAAAAAAAAAATCTACTTGAAATTATGTTCCAATTTAATATTTAAGTTGATCTTAAAGAAAATTATTCTTCTTAGAGATTTTTTGTTCGAGCAACTGTATTTACAATGTGCGTGCATTATCAATAAATTAAGGAAATTTTGAATAAATATTACATTATAATCACTCTAAGTTATTCAAAAAGTATACTTAATTTTTATACTTCAATTTATTTAGTTCAAATAGTTAATATCATTAACTATTTCAGATTAAAAAATCCCTTCCAACTCATTAGATTGATATGGATTTTCACAAATTTGGAAGTAGGGACGAAGCCAATTTTTTGTAAGGGTCAAAATTGTTTTTTTCCCTTCTCTTTTCTACCATTGAGTTGGCTTGTAATTTTATGATTTGTGAATGTAATAAAGTAAAAATTTACCATTTTGAGGGATTGAAAATATAATTTTATCATTAAAGTAACTTATAAATTTTAGGGGATTTTGCTGAAAGATGACTATTTTAGGTTAAAATAATTTAATAGTATATGAATATGCATCTGTATTTAATCAAACTCAAAAAACAATAATTCTTTATAGAGACCAAAAATTAAACAAAAATAACAGTCCCTACTATAAACTCCTAAACATCAAGGTCCTAGTTTGCACAAAAGGTGTCATTCACATTTCCCACCTTACTTGTGTTCTTAGCCTTCAAAGTAAGGAGAACAAGCTGCTTTACCAGCATGATAATATCCGCAGGAAATCGGTCAAGGCGTCGAAACTGTCTCCGGTTCCTTTCCCTCCAAATCTGGGCGATGCAACAATTCCAAGCCAGCTTCAAGAGGAGCGATATCATAGACTTTCTCTTCAATCTGCAATTAAACCAATCCAATTCCAAACACCAATCCATAACACTCCTACTAACCAGATAGATTTTTAAGGTAAAATTTCATATCTTATTCATCGATATAACATATATATATATATATATATATATATATATATATATATATTATTTTTATTAGATAATATGTAGAGTTATTGAAAAATATATAAAGAAATAATATTATAATAATTATCTTTAAATATATAAAGATTAATTATACTATTATTTTAAATCAATTAGATTATACACCTTAAATTAAATTTATCTTAATCTTATCTTTAAACAAATTCTAAATTAATACAAATCAAAATTTAAAAATATAATTTTATAAAATTAAATCAAATCAGAACCCACTAAAATCGAATGTAATGGCCTAATGGGGGGAAATCCAACAAATTGCAAAACGTTTGGTTGAGAAATGAGAATTAGCCCTTTTTTGTTTTCACTGTTCCACCTCTTCAAACCTCTTATGTCTGCACCGCGCAGACCACACGCATACATTAAGCTTCGCAGACCGTTTGTTTTTTAGAAGGCAGAAGCTCTTCTAACGTCTGCGCGAGCTCTTCTTGGTGCAGACATGATTTTATGTCTTCAAAGGTCTTCAAACCTCTTCAAACCTCTTCAAGAACAATTATAAAATATGGTTATTTATTAAAATAATTTTAAATTATTTAATAAGGTTATTTATTTTAAAATAAATTATTATAAAATGTGGATTGATTTATTTTTAAATAATTTATTTTAAATAATTTATTAGTATGGATTGATTTGTTTTAAAATATGGATTGATTTATTTTAAATAATTTATTAGTATGGATTGATTTATTTTAAATATAGATTGATTTATTTTAAATAATTTATTTGTATGGATTGATTTATTTTAAAATATGGATTGATTATTATTGTAGTTGTATGGATTGATTATTTTAAATAATTATTAGTATGGATTGATTTATTTTAAATAATTTATTAGTATGGATTGATTTATTTTAAAATATGGATTGATTTATTATTGTAGTTGTATGGATTGATTTATTTTAAATAATTTATTAGTATGGGTTGATTTATTTTAAAATATAAATTGATTTATTTTAAATAATTTATTAGTATGAATTGATTTATTTTAAAATATGGATTGATTTATTATTGTAGTTGTATAGATTGATTTATTTTAAATAATTTATTAGTATGGATTGATTTATTTTAAAATATGGATTGATTTATTTTAAAATAATTTATTAGTATGGATTGATTTATTTTAAATAATTTATTAGTATGGATTGATTTATTTTAAATAATTTATTAGTATGAATTAATTTATTTTAAAATATGGATTGATTTATTATTGTAGTTGTATAGATTGATTTATTTTAAATAATTATTAGTATGGATGATTTATTTTAAATATGTATTGATTTATTATTGTAGTTGTATGGATTGATTTATTTTAAATAATTTATTAGTATGGATTTATTAATTTTAAAATATGGATTGATTTATTATTGTAGTTGTATGGATTGATTTATTTTAAATAATTTATTAGTATTGATTGATTTATTTTAAATAATTTATTAGTATGGATTGATTTATTATTGTAGTTGTATGGATTGATTTATTTTAAATAATTTATTATTGTAATTGTATGGATTATTTAAATTTCAGTATTGTAAAACTAAAATGATTTAAATCTCAGTATTACAAAACTCTTTTAAGTTTAAAAAATCAGTTTATTAATATTTTAGTTCATTTTAGCAGTCTGCAGACGTTAAATAACAAACAATCTTCTTCTTGATGACTGCAGACTTTTAATCTATCTCTTCTGGTGCAGATGTCTGCAGATATAATCCGCAGACTGCAAACCTTTTACCTCTGTAAAAACAACCATTACCTTAATTTTGTGGGCGGCTCTCAAAACAGTGACACTTTTATATCTTTCTCTTCAAATGGGGAGAGCAAATAAAAATATAAAATGATACCCATTTTCTTATTTATTTATTTAAATATATATTTGGTGGCTCCATTAATAAAAAAATCTTATCTTCTTCAACAAACATAATGTTTGAGCCAGAGCCTCCACAGAATATTATGTATGTATATATATAATGATTAATGGCAACTTGGTTTGTGGGTATATATAATTAGATCATACAATCGACAATGGCATGGTCAGCTTCAAATTTCCCAACTAGCACATAGACAGAGAACATGATATCATCAATTAAATATAATATATATTTTCTAATTTTTAAATACAAATATTCGAGCTTAACTCCCCTTATGTTGGATGTAGTCTGGTTTTGGAGCTCTTCCATGGATTTGGTTTTCATGAACCAAAGCAAGTTTTATCTCAGTTTCTGCCTTAAAAACCAACATGAATAGCTAAAACAGCTGCAGTATTTGAATTTTAAAGACAGTTCCTTTGAAGGTTATCAGCAGAGAAATAAGTACAAAAACACCACAACAATGGAGTTCATATTAAAACGGAGTTGATAAAATTACAATGAGTCACTGAAGAAGTAGATGGTTACAGAAATTTGATCAGAGAAAGAAGATAACAAACACTTCTCTCTGCCATTGATTGACCCCTTTTTGATAAAAACATAAAGAATTAAGAATATAAAGTAATAAATAAAATTTATTTGTTGCCTTGCTTCATCTTCTTCCTAACGCTAACCATGAGCACTGAACTTGAACCTTATTGCCCATGTCTGTTTACTTCTCGACCTATCTACTATGACTATTGAATACTGTTACGAATAGAAGAAGAAGAAGAAAGGGTCTTTCTTCTTACGCTACCATCTGTTCCTGTTCTATATACATTTGCTCCACCCATGGTGGAAGCCTTTCTCGAACGCCTTTACCGATATTGTATTGCTGCTGCATTGATCTGCCTCCCATGGGAGTAACGTCTTTCACGAGAGAATTAACCCATGACACGTCTGGCTCGTCAATGTCGGATGGTATCATCGTTGCTGCCCGAGTGTTGTTCCGAAATGCGAAGGAAGCGGACTTCTTAAGCTTGTTCAGCTCATCTCCTGGCATTCCCCAATCCAGTTTCCCGTCAGAGGAGCTCCAGTTGGATATGTTTGAAGACATTACGGTAGCGGAATTAGCCGGCGCGGTGAGTCCAGCTCGACCGCGGTCGATTAAACTCTGGCTCCGTTTAGCGAAAGCAGAAGACCTGGAATTCATTACTGCTGCTGCCACTGCTGCAGATGAGTCAAAACCGAATGGTGAAGGATTCCTCGCTGGAGAGGATGGAAGGTTGGTTGGATAGCTTGCACGGAGTTGGTTTTGGCGAATTTGATGTCCCTTCAATGGAGACAGCAGAGAAGGATCGAGGGACCCGAATGTGTCATCGAGATTAGTAGGTTTCAAATCGCCAAGCCTACCGTATTCCTTGCTCCAGCAAGATGGGGAGGAGAGGCTAGATATCTCATCTATCAACTTTTGCTTCTGCAACTGGTTCTCGAGCCCTAGTATTTCCATTTCCAAATCAAAATCCCGGGAACTAAAAGCCGTCTTCAAGCGGCTACCCGGTAGCTGCAACGCCGGTGGGGTGAGGTTCATTTTGTTCTGCCACAAGCCTCCATTCTTCGAAGAGGAAGAGGCAGTCAAAGGAAACATGGGTTGCGTCGAAGCAGTAGGCAATGGCAAGGATGATGAACCGAGTGCTAGAGGGCTCAAAGTTGCCATGTCCACTACATTAACCGCAGCAGACCTCGGTGAAGGCATGGCCGAACCGGTGGAAGCATACACCTGGCGTAATTCCTCATGTTTGTGAGCAAAGAAACAAACTTTGCGTGTGCAGCCAACCTCATCTTTGCAAAGTCTTGTCCGGTATTGAGCAGGATGAAGCCATGATTCGAACACACCGTGCGCGTATTCACAAGCATCACCCTTAGGGCATGCCCCCTTACGAAACTCCGGGCAGGGCACACAGCTGTAGGGGTACTTCCTCGGGTCCCTCCTCCGAGCGTTCTCACCGGGATGAACAAACGGACACTCGGTCCAATCATGGGAGTATGCCCTCGAGCAAGGCTTCACCTTAAAGGTATACATCCTGAAGTCGTCAGTTCCATATATGCCATTGTTGATATCAGGCAACGATACATCAATAGGATACTCTTTCTTCTCGGAACCCACTTTAGGCACAACAGCCTTTTCGGACTCTTCTTCGGGGTTAAAACCAACAACATCATCACCTTGCAGCAGCAACTCAATCACCTTTCTCCTGGCACCACTCAAAGATTTTAAACCCTGCAGGACCAAATCGATCGGTTTGTTCCGATTATCATCGACACAATTAGCATCCGCAGACGCATCGAGCAATAGCTTGACGATCTCTACCGAAGAATTCGAACCACCAGCAACCGCACAATGAAGGGCAGTAACTCCATCAGTACCACATGCTCCATTCACATCAGCCTTCCCACTACGGAGGATGTATTTCAAGACATCCACGCTACCGAACATGGATGCGATTACCAGCGGTGTCCTCTCTTCGAACCCCATCTTTCTCGACCCTATTCTTCTACCATACCAGAAGCTTGCCTCTGCAAGATCCAAACCCTGTTCTTCCACTTCACTTTTGAAGGCCACCAGGTCATCGATGGCGGCTAGTTCGAGCAAAACCGAGCATTTATCGGCTTTAAGCTCGTGCAATTCACCTTCCATGATGAAATTTGTAGGAACAAGTTCACTCATTGAACCACTGCACATCACAAACAAACCCTTGCATCATCATTAAAAGCAACAAAAAAAGGGGAAAAAACTAAGTTTCCATATAAACATAACAGATGTATAAGCTGTTCTAAATCAAAGACTGTACATGTTCCTCTTAAGTTAAAAAAAATCACAACTTCTGACCAAAAGAAAAGCTCAAGAATTCATCAAAAACAAAGAGAATCGAAGGCAAAGATCAAGTCTTTTTACCTATGTAAAGCAGTCTTCGATAGAGAAAACAAAGGGTGTTTAAGAGAATTGGGAATTGAACAAGTTTGTTCTGAGAGGAAAAAGAAACAAGTAGAGGTGGCTTTTTATGTATGAGGAAATGCTGGTTTAAGGAGGAAGAAGGGAAGAAAGTGGGACTTCTCTTCCCTTCGCTTTCTGTTATGGTGGTCAAAAGTCAAAACTTCAAAGAGAAGGCTTTTGAATTTGGATTCAAAAGGATAATGAAATGGGAATGAAATGCAAATTGCAATAAAGTTGATTTTTATGAAGTTCCAAACTGGCTGGCCAGCACGTGTGAGTCAGAGGTTGGCTTCTAGGGATCCCCCCCACCCCCAAGTGGGGACTGACCGGGGAGATTCATTGATACCAAGCTGTAACCGAGTCAGTGACTGGGGACTGAGCTGAGCTGCTTCATCGCTTTTAACGCGTTTCCTCTCTAGGTGGGGTCTCGGTCACAGTCTTACACACACGTTCGGACAATATATGGTTGCTTCCCATTGACTCACCATTCCACTTACTCCTTTGCTTTGATACATTCACCTTTTTTTTAAAAAAAAAATGGTTAAATTTGTCTATTGGACTATTACTCCTTGTACTGTAAGTAATTTTAATAATAAATATTGGACATTATCAATTAATACATATCATATACAAAAAATATTTATTATAGGGATATCTTTTAATCTAATTTATTTTAACTACAGATCAATAAACTAAATTAAATCGTTAAAAGAATTTATTAAATTAATTTTTACTATGTCGAATTATATATTTAATTTTTATAATCTTTTTAAATTATGTAATTTAGTTATTCTTATGTTATTTAATTATAGATGAACATATAAAGTGAACTCAATGATTAAAATTAAATATTATTCTTTCTAAAGATTCTATATCCGAGATGATGCGTCTACATGTTAATGTGTATGTTGTTAATAATTAAAAAAATTCTTAATAAATATTATCTTATAATCACCTCATATTATCGTAATTAATAATTTAATATCATCACTATAATTGTTATATTGATTACCATGATTGAAGATCATTATGCCACGTGTAAATCAAACTGTTTTGTTTGACTAGTGCACAATAGGTGTTGATTAAATTTTCATGAAAGTTCAACATTTATAGATTCTTTTGTTGGACCGTCACATTAATTCATTATTATATGGTCTAAGTTGGTTTATTTATTTATTTCTCAAATGGGCAAACCTAACATGCTGACTCTTTGGCCAAAGGCTTTGACTTGTCAAAGAAATTTTCTTTTCCATGTGATTCTACTGTTATTTAGGTTTCTTGGATCATGTTTAAATTATGATGATAAACAATACGAAAAGTATTGTTATAGGTCATGAGTTTAAGTTAAACATGCACTGATCCTTAGTTTAAAGGTTTTAATGATTTTTCAGTGTTGGTTTGTGGGTAAAAATATACATATGGTTATTATAGTATGTTGGAATAATTGTTTTTGTCACTAAACTTTTAAAAATTATAAAATGGACATTGAACTTTTAATTCTATCACAAAACATGTATTACATTGCTAGTTCTTGTTAAGTTATTAAAGGAATGACGTGATACATTAAATTATGTATAATATCTTATTTGATCTATTAACCGTAAATTAAATGATGTTATTAAATTATAAAATTGAACTAAAGTAATACTTTTGATCAACGTGGTCAATGAATATTCTTTGATCAATAACATTGCATATATCGAGTTATTGCTTGGATTTATGTCTCGCTTTGATTTAATAGGATTAGTCACCTTAATTTAGGCATACTAGTTACAATTCTAAATGATCAATGAAGTTTCTAAAAGTAGGCACAATAACTTATCGTCGAATGACAATCTTCACAATCTAAAAATAATGAAAGATCGACAGTCACATAATAAAGCTTCACTTTTCTCATTCAATTTCAAATTTTGACACACTAAGTTCTCAACTAAATGATCTCGTGACATATATCCAATCTCAAAGGAATGTTATTTTATAGCACCCTTACATGATCCAATAATTCATTCGGATGTCACATCAATGGTTGGAATGATTATAAAATTTAAATTTGAAAATTAAAATCTATTCATCTAATTTAAAAACTTAAGGAACAAATCAAACATTTGTAACACAATTTAAACCTTTCAATTATTAAACAATCCAACCATACAAATTGAAAGTACCCATCAACATGTTTGTCAGTTGTAGTATTGAAATATTAATATTTAAACGAGCTATAAATACTGAAGCATAAATATTAATACTCAATGTCAATATAATATAATAAACAAAAGGTATGAACATTACATGATGAGCCGTCTATAACCAGGGGTGGAGGTATAAGATTTTTTTATGGAGCAATTAAACATTTATTATTTTATAAAAATAAAATTTAATTCAGTTTATTAAAAGGAATAAGAAAAAAATAGAAAATTTATATATACCCATCCTTGGAATGAAAAAGAGAAATAAAATTTTGCTGTGGGCCTAATCCAAACAATCCCTTGTTAAGTTCCAAAGAAATCTGCTAAAAGAAAAATCAATCTACCTGTTTCGATGTTGATGTCAACAAAACTGACAAATCGTCCTTTCCCATCGTGCGTCAAGATAACTGTGAACAGTGATACCATGGAAAGTGCGTCAAGATAACGCCAGTCAAGGCCGAAATGATTAAGGTTTACAAATGCCCATCGTGCCAGAAAAAGGCCAGGCAGTCGCAGCCGATGTTGGCAGTAAAATCTTCAGGTTCTTGAAATCCATCCTTAAATTGTGCAACCACAATATCTTAGATTCTTTTACATAACATGAATGACATGTAGTGCCATACAGAAATGGATGATGCAATGGACTTTGTGTAGTAGATCAGTACTTTTATAACTCATTGTCTTCCATTTTTCAAGTTCCGGCATGTTATTCGATCTAAAAACCGAGTCGAATCTTCAGGTTTTGCCGTTGTTATTTTAACATAATTATCATATGCATCACAGGGCATCGGTACATGGTACCTGGTACATGGTACCTGGTACATTTATCATTGTTTTCCTATGGGTTAATTGCATGTGCGGTACATGGTACATGTATTATATAGAATTTCTCAAAGATATATATATTTTTAATCTCAATTTCATTTATGAAGTATTTCGTTCCAACCACTTCAGTCACTTCTTCACATATTATATTTAAACATTTGAGAATACTTATATCTAAATAATGTGTGATCTAAAAATCTTATGAGTAAATTTATTAATTTTGAATCGTTAAAAATCTGATTTAGTACGATAGTTAAATACCACAATTATTTGTGACTAAACGTGTGAATGAGCTGAAATCAGTAATGATACAATCATTAAAGTGCATGATTTTATGCACGTGACTTTTGGAAAAAATTTAAAAAAATAATGTTTATGCACGTGAGAATTGTCTTCAGGAACACACCTACGTATTCATCCATTACATTGAGAAACGACCCCAGGAGTGCGCGTCTATGTTCCTATTTCGGCGCCGTGATCAACTTGCGTATTGCCCCCCACAATATTTTCTCTTTTTCTCTTCATCGCTTATATTTACATTTTCTTAATGGTTTGATAAGGAAATTGAATTTAATTAATCTATTTTCAAGAATACTATATAATATGATACTCAAACAAATGAATAATATTACTATTCTGACAGGTCCTTCAAATTAGTTAATACCATTAATTCTGGAAAATTTTAGAGGGGATACCATGTTAAGACTATAGCGTGTAGTTAATCTCTTTATTCTATCATATATATATGTATATAAATAATAGGTTTAAAGTTTAAAGAACTATGAATTCGAGTTTAAATTCGAATCGCAAAATCCCTTTTAATTTTTTTTCTCTAATCTTCCATCATAGGGAGTTTCCCTCTCCTCAAACCTCAAACTAACATTCAAAATTCAAATAATCCAACTTCATCACACTAAATGTTTTATCCCTTATCCCTGTCCTTTATAAATCTAATCTGTTAAACTAAAAAAGATCGATAATTATAACCTATTTAAACTCATCGAAACCCACAAATTCAAAGAATATTAAGAAAAAAAAATGAGAAACTATAGCCTTACGAAGAAGTCCGAATTCATTGTTAAAGTTCACATCGATGATCAAGATCTTTTTTAACTTATATTCAATTTGTTTAAGTATCATTTGATGAAATCGATTCTATATTCAAATTTGAGAGGTTGAAAAGTTCGAAATGATAACATTTTAGGCTTTTGATCATTGATGGTAACGACGATAAATCAATAGTGATTATATTAATAAGTGGTGGACGAGGCATATTGATGATCGAGAGATTGAGGGAAAAGAAAAAAAACAAAGGAAAAATGAGAGAAAAGAAGAATAAATCATTGAAAGTCTATTAAAATGATGTTGTTTTGAGAGTATTTTGTATGTTCAAAACAATATGTTTTGAGTGAAAACTTTCTTTCCTCTCAAAAATCCTAATTTGATTCGTGCTTGACCCAGACCTAGACCTGCTGTTAGGACCCTGCCTAACCCAGACCTAGACCTTCCGTGAGGACAATATCTTTTGATATTTTCGGGTTAATTTCACTTTTAATCCTCTTGCTTATAATCATTATAATTTTGGCCCTAATCTGCATTTTTGTTTGCTAATCGACCTATTTAATTTCAATTAATTCCAATCAATAATTATAAAGATTAAATTTCAAAAATATATAGAGTATAAAGATTATTTTTTTCATGGAAAGTATTGTTAGGTCAATTATTATCCATTTACTTTGTAAAAAGAAAAATAAAATTGGTTCAATCCGTCAAAAAAAATTAATGTGTAAAAACACGTTTAGAAACGAATTATTTCATCTATGTTTGGAGGAAAAGAAAAGAAAAGACATAAATTTCTTAAATGATATCTTAATAATACCCTTTGTGACTGATTTTAGTGTTGACATAGGATCATAACAATTTTTTTATTAGAATAAAGGATAACAATTGACATAATTTAAATTACATCAACATAATATAAAATATGACAATCAACTAAAAATTATTCGTATAAAAAATTTCAAATAAAGTAAATTTATATTTATATGTACACTTGTCAAGGTGATAGATATTATTGAATCCTATATATATCATATCCCTGCCCTAGTTTATTTCATTACA